AGAGAGAGAGAGAGAGAGAGATATATACATATACATACACATACATAGAGTACATACATTAAACTGAGTAACTAGATTATTAAGAATGTTACTTGCTTAGCTCAATGAATTTTGGGATTCAGTTCCAGAGCCCATTATGTGCCTCTAATCTTTTCCACTACTGCTCATGGGAGGGTATGTGGTGTATAATAAATGAACAAGTTCAATAGCTCATTGGTTATAATAAACCTTGATATGAAGTAGATAATAAATTTAAAACATCCTCTATAATTACCATTCTTGTCTTATGGAACAGACATTCCAAAACCTGGAGAGACCGGTGTAAACCTTAACATCTAGTATCCCTATAACAAATTGTAATATCTCATTGGCTTATTGGGAAGCCACAATGTAGAATTGAAAACAGGAGATACTTCTTCACCCACAGGGTTATAAACCCATGGAACCGCCAACCCGCCAAAGCCATAAATGCCAAAACTGTTAAATTTTAAAACCCAACTGGAAAAGTTCATCAGGAGCAAATGGGGGGGACCTTTTAACAAGCCGCCGGCTTCCTGTCCTCGTCGAGACCACTTGTGTGTAAGTGGCACTCAGGTAAATTAAGGTAAATTATGGGTAGCTGCATCAGTGAAGTAATCCCCCACGACACCACTGGCTGGGCGGCCCTTCCTAACAGGAAGCTTCATTACACCTCATGCCTCTCTTCATTTGAGCGGTCAACAGTTCTCAAACAGTAACTATCTCTCAAAAGAGCCATCAAGTGAATAATGACCGGGCCGGGCTAAATGGATCCTCGATATGCCTAACACTACTCCACCAACACTTCAATTTCAACTTTCAAGGCCTTTTTATACGATGTAAATTGTCTCAAGAATTACTAATGAAACTCATAGTTTTCATAGTTCTGAATATACTATGGACATGCGATGACATTCTTAATTTTTTATGGTTTATTCTATACGAAAAAAAATATTGTTCATGTTATACCTGGTACCGATACGTACACCAAACTTATAAAACCCATGGAACCGCCTACCCGCCATAGCCATAAATTCCAAAACGAACAACTTGACTTGAACAAGTCAAATGATTGCAAAGCAATTAATACACCTCAGTCTCAATACGTTAATCATAATTAGCCTTATATTTTATGTAAGAAATGTCAAAGTCGCATCACTATTACTTGAAAGTCCCCCTGGACGCCCAAGACGTCCACAGTCCCCTCAGGTGGAGCGGAGCGGTCACATCCATCCTCCACGACGCTATCAACCAACTGGGAAATAGAGTCCGGTGATTGGCTGGCACAGGAGCAGCAACGGCCCGGGCCGGCCAATAGCCCGCTGGATGGCCATTAAGGCCACTATAATAGTTTACTAATCAACTATCCAGCAAGTACATACTTAGTCCTAAACATTATCCATGACTAAAGTAAACTGTCCAATTATATCAAGAAATATTCCAGCCGGGACAGAATTATTGTTTGTTGCCTTAGATTCAGCTACTCAGAATAAAAGTTCCAAGTAGCACGGGCTATGGTAAGCCCGTAGTGGACAAAAATGGATATTTCCTATCACCTAATGAACCTGTCCACCTAGCAGTAAGTAGGTACTCAGGAGTATAGTTAGTTTGTTGTGGGGGTTGCATCCTGGGCGGGGTCAATAATTCGACCTTGAGGGGGGGGGGAATACTTCGATATAAGCCTATAACGTGTATAAATACACTGCCTTCTGGGCCCGTGAATTATTAATAATATAAAGGGTGGGGTATACCTCTCGATGTGTATATCCCTATAAACTGAATTTACATCAGGGCCATTAACACTGGTGGCCTCGGCGAGGACAGGAAGCCGTCGGCTTCTCAAAGATCCCTCCATTTGTCCTGATGATTGTTTCAAGCTGTAGTTTAAAATTTAACAGAGTTTTGGCATTTACGGCTTCGGTGGGTAGGCGGTTCCGTGGGTTTATAACCCTGTGGGTGAAAAAGCATCTTCTGTTTTCAGTCCTACATTGTGGCTTGTTGAACTTGAAACCGTTGCTCTTTGTTTGTGTTACATCTGACCTGTTGAAGAAGTAGCCCGGATCAACATCCTCCAAACTGTTCAGTATTTTAAGAGTTTCAATATGATTACCATTGTCATGCCTGGTTTTTAGTAATGTTAGCCGAGTGGACCTCAACTATTCCTCGTGTGACAGTCGACTTAGTTCAGGAATAATGTTAGTTGCCCAGCGTTTGAATTTTCTCCAAAGCAGATATGCCTTTCTGAGATGAAGTCTTATGTATGGAAACAATAATTCAAGTGGGGGCGCACAATATATTTATACAATTGAATACTACCTTCTTTTTATTTCCGTTTGACTATTTTTAGGATTTGGTTTGGTTTGTTACGTAATAACAAATACATACCAGCGTGTACCTGTGACGCCCAGTGTGGCGAGGCCTGCCCTCCCACAGTTCCAGCAGTGTGTGTGTAGCCCAGTGTGGCGAGGCCTGCCCTCCCACAGTTCCAGCAGTGTGTGTGTAGCCCAGTGTGGCGAGGCCTGCCCTCCCACAGTTCCAGCAGTGTGTGTGTAGCCCAGTGTGGCGAGGCCTGCCCTCCCACAGTTCTAGCAGTGTGTGTGTAGCCCAGTGTGGCGAGGCCTGCCCTCCCACAGTTCTAGCAGTGTGTGTGTAGCCCAGTGTGGCGAGGCCTGCCCTCCCACAGTTCCAGCAGTGTGTGTGTAGCCCAGTGTGGCGAGGCCTGCCCTCCCACAGTCTAGCAGTGTGTGTGTAGCCCAGTGTGGCGAGGCCTGCCCTCCCACAGTTCTAGCAGTGTGTGTGTAGCCCAGTGTGGCGAGGCCTGCCCTCCCACAGTTCCAGCAGTGTGTGTGTAGCCCAGTGTGGCGAGGCCTGCCCTCCCACAGTTCCAGCTGTGTGTGTAGCCCAGTGTGGCGAGGCCTGCCCTCCCACAGTTCCAGCTGTGTGTGTAGCCCAGTGTGGCGAGGCCTGCCCTCCCACAGTTCCAGCTGTGTGTGTAGCCCAGTGTGGCGAGGCCTGCCCTCCCACAGTTCCAGCAGTGTGTGTGTAGCCCAGTGTGGCGAGGCTTATACCCTCCCACAGTTCCAGCAGTGTAACCCAGTGTGGCGAGGCTTATACCCTCCCACAGTTCCAGCACTGTGTGACGCCCAGTGTGGCGAGGCTTATACCCTCCCACAGTTCCAGCAGTGTAACCCAGTGTGGCGAGGCTTATACCCTCCCACAGTTCCCAGCAGTGTGTGTGTAGCCCAGTGTGGCGAGGCTTATACCCTCCCACAGTTCCAGCAGTGTAACCCAGTGTGGCGAGGCTTATACCCTCCCACAGTTCCCAGCAGTGTGTGTGTAGCCCAGTGTGGCGAGGCCTACCCTCCCACAGTTCCAGCTGTGTGTGAAGTCCAGTGTGGCGAGGCTTATACCCTCCCACAGTTCCAGCAGTGTAACCCAGTGTGGCGAGGCTTATACCCTCCCACAGTTCCCAGCAGTGTGTGTAACCCAGTGTGGCGAGGCCTACCCTCCCACAGTTCCAGCTGTGTGTGTAACCCAGTGTGGCGAGGCCTGCCCTCCCACAGTCTCAGCAGTGTGTGTGTAGCCCAGTGTGGCGAGGCCTGCCCTCCCACAGTTCCAGCACTGTGTGTAGCCCTGTGTGGCGAGGCTTACACGCTCCCACAGTTCCAGCAGTGTGTGTAGCCCAGTGTGGCGAGGCCTGCCCTCCCACAGTTCCAGCACTGTGTGTAACCCAGTGTGGCGAGGCTTACACGCTCCCACAGTTCCAGCAGTGTGTGTAGCCCAGTGTGGCGAGGCCTGCCCTCCCACAGTTCCAGCACTGTGTGTAGCCCAGTGTGGCGAGGCCTACCCTCCCACAGTTCCAGCAGTGTGTGTAGCCCAGTGTGGCGAGGCCTGCCCTCCCACAGTTCCAGCAGTGTGTGTAGCTCAGTGTGGCGAGGCCTGCCCTCCCACAGTTCCAGCAGTGTGTGTAGCCCAGTGTGGCGAGGCTTACACGCTCCCACAGTTCCAGCAGTGTGTGTAGCCCAGTGTGGCGAGGCCTGCCCTCCCACAGTTCCAGCACTGTGTGTAGCCCAGTGTGGCGAGGCCTACCCTCCCACAGTTCCAGCAGTGTGTGTAGCCCAGTGTGGCGAGGCCTGCCCTCCCACAGTTCCAGCAGTGTGTGTAGCCCAGTGTGGCGAGGCCTGCCCTCCCACAGTTCCAGCACTGTGTGTAGCCCAGTGTGGCGAGGCCTGCCCTCCCACAGTTCCAGCAGTGTGTGTAGCCCAGTGTGGCGAGGCCTACCCTCCCACAGTTCCAGCACTGTGTGACGCCCAGTGTGGCGAGGTTTATACCCTCCCACAGTTCCAGCACTGTGTGACGCCCAGTGTGGCGAGGCTTATACCCTCCCACAGTTCCAGCACTGTGTGACGCCCAGTGTGGCGAGGCCTGCCCTCCCACAGTTCCAGCACTGTGTGACGCCCAGTGTGGCGAGGCTTATACCCTCCCACAGTTCCAGCACTGTGTGACGCCCAGTGTGGCGAGGCCTACCCTCCCACAGTTCCAGCACTGTGTGACGCCCAGTGTGGCGAGGCTTATACCCTCCCACAGTTCCAGCACTGTGTGACGCCCAGTGTGGCGAGGCCTGCCCTCCCACAGTTCCAGCACTGTGTGACGCCCAGTGTGGCGAGGCCTGCCCTCCCACAGTTCCAGCACTGTGTGACGCCCAGTGTGGCGAGGCCTGCCCTCCCACAGTTCCAGCGTCTCAGCAATGTGTATGTCAACACTGTGCGTATCTTTAATAACACTCAAACATTATTAGCTGTGTGGTTCACTCGCTGCATATATGACTAAATAGTGATATATAATGTTTATGGACAAACCTTCAAATAAAATTGCAAAATTTGAACGATGAAGTCAAAAATTGGTAAACACAAATAGAGAGACAATTTTCACAGTTGTCGTGTCAACTGCTAGCTACACTTTTTGAAGCCAGGGAAACTCACCTCTTTAAAAAGGTCAGTGAAAGCTGAATAGAGTGCCTCCTCATCTGGACTAAGTACCACCTGGTTGTCGTCTAGGACCAGATAAAGCTTTATCCTAGGGCCCACCCACGGCTCCTCTTCACTTGCCAGCCACCGTAGGACATTCTCCACGCTACGGATCAGTACCTCTTGTAGCTGCCACAAATATATATCTATTAAGGCTGGTGATATCTATTGCAGCTTCACTTATCATCTGTTGAAGCTAAAAGATAAGATATATAGTTGTGTAAATTACAGTTTCTGTAAAAATCCATGTTTTAACATTAATCTAAACCCGTTGAAATCTCTCTAAAATCGGCTGCTGCCTTGATTACACTTTATTATTCATTAATATATCTACCTACGGTATCTGTGTTTGGGGATTTACAACCTAAAACTACCTTCGACCCATTATTACTAAACAAATCTGCAATAAGATCAATAACAAACTCCAATCCCAAAAAGCATTCAGGCCCCTTTACATTCATACATACATTTTATTTATTTATTTATTTATTTATTTATTTATTTATTTATTTATTTATTTATTTATTTGTATACAAGAAATTACATTGGGGGTTACCAGAGAACATAAAAATTAAGTTGATTTAACATTCTCGTAAAGCCTCTAGGACGCATAGCGTTTCGGGCAGGTCTTTAATCTTAATTTTCCCTGGAATACGGCCCACCAAATCGTGCAACAACCAGGTACCTATTCACTGGTGGGTGAACAGAGTCGTCCAGTTAAGGATTGGCGCCTAGTCAATCCTTCCTGGCCAGGATACGAACTCAGGCCAAAGTGTTCGCGAAGCGCTTAGGCGAATGTTTCATGTTACATGTTATTGTCTAATCAGTATTAGGCTTTTTATATTATTTCACTTATAAATATGCAATCGTTTCATGAGATCAAAGTTTTGAATTTGTATAAATGTGAACACTTGTACTTGTATAAATAAATATGTTGATTACAATTTAATTTCATACTACACTTTTTTGGGCGTGACGCCAGGTGCCAGATTCACGAAAGCACTTACGCAAACACTTACGAACCTGTACATCTTTTCTCAATCTTTGGCGGCTTTGTTTCCAATTATTAAACACTTAATGAGCTCCGAAGCACCAGGAGGCTGTTTATAACAATAACAACAGTTGAAGGGGAAGTTTTCATGCTTGTAAACTGTTTAATAAATGTAACAAAAGCCGTCAAAGATTGAGGAAAGATGTACACGTTCGAGGCCTTCATGAGTGACCAGTGGACGTGGAGAGAGGGAGACAGTGTTGGTCCTAGGCTACCACCATCTCACTTAACACGTTTTTATGATAGCTACCAAGAATAAACACTGTGCTAAATAAATATTCTAAGTAATTACATCTGTAAACTTACTGTTGGGAGGATTATTTTTTTTAATTGTATAATAAACTCTAAGGTATCTGCGTGCCAGTTTTCAAGTAATTATCGCAACCCATTATTAAAATATTTTCCAAAATAATTATTAAAAAAATCCCCAAATTATCAATAAATTATAAAGGCTAGTTTAGATTATCTTACTCTTCGTCACAAAACGCAACAGTTTAAGGTGATACACCGGATTGGCCTTCCAAATTATAGCTAGGAAACAGGGAGTAAAGAACCAAATCTCGGCCCCTAAACACAATAATAGATAAGCACCTCTTTAACGATAACTACCGCCAAAGAGCAACAATGTCCAACTTATAAATAACTGTAATTTATAAATGTACATAAGTGTGTACCGTATGTTTACGTGTACGTGTTTGGGTGATAAGACACAAAGAGTATACTGTAGTAGTTTCTTATATTTATTTACTACAGTACTAGTCTTGGTCACAGCATTCGATATGTTGGCAGTGTAGTGAAGCGTGCCGCTCTGAATGCGGGGGGGAGGGCGGGAGTTAAAGAACTGGGGCCAGATTCACGAAGCAGTTACGCAAGCACTTACGAACGTGTACATCTTTCCTCAATCTCTGATGGCTTTGGTTACATTTATTAAACAGTTTACAAGCATGAAAACTTGCCAGTCAACTGTTGTTATTGTTATAAACAGCCTCCTGGTGCTTCGGAGCTCATTAACTGTTTAATAATTGTAAACAAAGCCGCCAAAGATTGAGAAAAGATGGACAGGTTCGTAAGTGTTTGCGTAAGTGCTTTCGTGAATCTGGCCACTGGAATGCGGGACGAGAGCGTGGAATCTCGATGCGGCCGGAATCAGGCTGTCTGCTCTGTAGCGAGGCTGAAGCATCTTGTGGGGGTAGGAATTAACTGGACTCGTCGAGTGTTACATTGTTGCTGGTGAATGTTGAAGATGTGCGGTATCTCTTAAGACCCTGTACTGAATCATTATACAAGCTTAGACTAACTGACCGATTGATTGATTGATGAAGATTAAGCCACAAAAGACTTAAGTAAGACACTCGCCTGGCGTTCCGCGAGCGCTTTGTCATGGGTTCGTATCCTGGCCGGGGAGGATTTACTGGGCGCAAATCCTTAACTGTAGCCTCTGTTTAACTCAACAGTAAAATGTGTACTTGGTTGTAAGAACGATTCTTCGCGGCAGGGATCGTATTCCAGGGACCTGCCCGAAAAACTACGCGTACTAGTGGCTCTACAAGAATGTAGCAACTCTTGTATATATCTCAAAAAAAAGATGGTATGGGCATGAATAGCCCGTAAATGGTAGATTTTTTGGAGTGAATGTGATCTTTGGTCGTGAAAGGCTATAGTGTGTGCTGTGCTCGCATTTAAATCGTCAGTCTCCTTACTATGTGGCTGCCATCGCGGGGGAGGATGCTACTTGACAGTATTTATGAGAGTGTCCAGCTGCTGGACACCTTTTTTGACCAGAAGAGTGGCAGTGTTGATGGCTTCAGGGTGGTTACTGCAAGATTTAGGAACTCTTAAAGCTCTTCTATGGTCGTTGGTTGCTACACATTCCAGGAGATAGTGAAGTAGTGGCTTTTCTGTTATTGTTTGACAGAAGATGCATTCCCACTCTCTGGGTTCACTAATTTTCCAGTTGCATCTGTAACCTAGATGTAGTCTATATAACCGAACTGCTATTTTTGCTTTGGATTCCTTTTGGGATATATAACCTGTCTAACTTGGTGACCTGAAGATACCATATTGCAGTGGGCGAACCTTCTGCTACTCTCTGTTGTGACTGACCGATTGATTGATGAAGTTTATGCCACCCAAAAGGTGGCACGGGCATGAATAGCCTGTAAGTGGTGGCCCTTTTGAGCCATTACCAGTATCAAGAGCTGATACTGGAGATCTGTGGAGGCTCGACTGCACCCTGCGTGACGGGAGATGTCTCCCGTCAAACTGACAGATGTGCTGTTGAAGCTTATATTTGCAGCTTCCAGCTCACCTTGCCAAGCTGGCCATCATCTAGCAGGTTGGGAAGAGATATTAACTGTAGTTACTTGTACACTTGGTAATTGTAACTGGTGGTCCATGACTCAGTGCACGACTTCTAGGAATGTGAGACACTTAGAGATAGCTTAGGGAAAATGAACAGACCCATCTCATTATATGCACATAAGCTAATAAGAATATAGAGCAAGTATTACTACTAGTTAATATACTTGCTACAAGAATTTCAAGTTTGCAGTAAATTCGCATCGGATTTCGCGCGATATCGCAGGAAAAGCATTGCGGTGGTCAGCGTAGTCATATTATCTTCTTGAGATTCTTAAGGTTATCTTGAGATGATTTCGGGGTCTAGCGTCCCCGCGGCCCGGTCCTCGACCAGGCCTCCTGCTACACACCTCCAGGAAGCAGCCCGTAGCAGCTGTCTAACCCCCCAGGTATCTATTTACTGCCAGGTGAACAGGAACATCAGAGTAAAAGAAACTCTGCTCATTTGTATCCGCCTCCACCAGGGATCGAACCCAGAATCTCAGGACTACGAATCCCGAGCGCTATCCACTCAGTCGGGTCACACAGGAAAGGTCAGAGTTTGTTCCCGCGACAGGACTTTTTCCTGATAATCACCTTACCTTTCACCTGATGCCTGCTGTTCACCTGGCAACTGTTATAGCCCACACTACGGCAAAGATCAGGACTAGAAAGAGAAACCAAGGCACGGGCAAAATCATAAGAAAATCTCCTTCCGGAGATACCTGTCCTTTCAAATAATACATTGCATTTTGTACATAAAGCCCCAAACGGACAATATACGAGGTACACACAGAAATCCCAATAGCGTGACGCATCAAATGAACAAAACATCACGGCCCTTGGGGAAATGTTCAATATACGAGGTACTCTGAAAAGTAGCGGCTCACAAACGTCCATGTTTCCTATGCATAGGTTGGTTAGGTTACGTGGCGTGTCTGATGATGATGATAATGAAGATTAAGCCATCCAAAAGGTGGCACGGGCATGAATAGCCTGTAAGTGGTGGCCCTTTTGAGCCATTACCAGTATCAAGAGCTGATACTGGAGACTTGTGGAGGTGCAGCTGCACCCTGCGTGACGGGAGATGTCTCCCGTGGTGGAGTGTCTTAGTGGGTTCCCGCTATATATTGCCCCGTATTTTGTCCATTGTGGCAACTCAAGAGAACGACCTGTATACTCACATTTAAATGATATGTTCTACAGAAGCCAATGTTTTGCTAGCGATGAGGACTGAGCGGACGAGGATCAACCAAAACTTACAATAATAAATACGAATTTTAAATATAGATCAAGAGGATACAGTGCTAATTACCTTTGCTTCAGGTAAGAACTTGGCCTTGGAGACAGAATGCTTACTTTTGAAGCCAAGAGGTTGTTGAAGGCGTGCATGACAGTGTGTCTACGAGAGGGTGAGAGGTTCGTAGCCAGAGCCGCCTCACGGATGGCGGAGAGGGATGTAGGGAACCATGTATTCCGGAGTTGAGTTCGTCCTGCCCTCGCTGCTGCTCGCCATCTTGTGATCAACACATTCAGCTCAACGCCTTCGCCCACGCCCACAACCCCGCCTCTGTAACGCATGTTACATAATATAACAACTCCTCCTAACACGCCATATCTTGAAGAGGATGGTTGATGTTCGTGATAATTACATATGACCATTTTCATCTTAAACTTCTGTGACAGATTATGCACATACAGTGCGAGACAGAGGCGTAGCCAGAGGTTCCAAGGTTCCAAGGAGCGAACAGATCAAAATTGGCGCCGCGACACGTGCCAAATTATTTTAAATTCATTATTTTTATATTTTGTAATTAGGATTACAACAAAAGGAAGATACAGTTTTAATTGAAGTACATAATTGTTATTTTGTATGTAAAAACAAAACACTGAATTTTGTTTACAGTAAAGTCATAAATCTATAATTTATTTAAAATCAGAATATAATAAATACTTTTTTTTTTTTTTTTTTTTTTTTTTTGAGATATATACAAGAGTTGTTACATTCTTGTACAGCCACTAGTACGCGTAGCGTTTCGGGCAAGTCCTTAATCCTATGGTCCCTGGAATACGATCCCCTGCCGCGAAGAATCGTTTTTTCATCCAAGTACACATTTTACTGTTGCGTTAAACAGAGGCTACAGTTAAGGAATTGCGCCCAGTAAATCCTCCCCGGCCAGGATACGAACCCATGACATAGCGCTCGCGGAACGCCAGGCGAGTGTCTTACCACTACACCACGGAGACTGCTAAACTTGTGACTTGAGACTTGTGTGTGTTATTTAATCATTTTACATTTTAAACGTAAAAAGAAAACAAAGCGAAGCAAAATGAAAAATGTATGAGGCAAATACATACAACCGTCTCTTGTCTAGGCGTTATTTTTGCCAAGTTAACTATTACTTTATAATCAAACTCAGTAACATATTACATAATAAATAAAACAAATTTATTATGTTTTGAAACTATAATAGCCAACTATCTTTCAATGGAGCGCAAAAGTAACTCAAACGACCTATCCTCGCCCATTGTAGAATGAAGATCTAGTACAGGTGCAGGAACCAACCGTGGACATCTTCAAGAGGAAACTAGATTGTTTCCTACAAGGAGTGCCGGATCAGCCGGGCTGTGGTGGGTATGTGGGCCTGCGGGCCGCTCCAAGCAACAGCCGGGTGGACCAAACTCTCACAAGTCAAGCCTGGCCTCGGGCCGGGCTTGGGGAGTAGAACAACTCCCAGAACCCCATCAACCAGGTATCAACCAACAGCCTGGTGGACCAAACTCTCACAAGTCAAGCCTGGCCTCGGGCCGGGCTTGGGGAGTAGAACAACTCCCAGAACCCCATCAACCAGGTATCAACCAACAGCCTGGTGGACCAAACTCTCACAAGTCAAGCCTGGCCTCGGGCCGGGCTTGGGGAGTAGAACAACGCCCAGAACCCCATCAACCAGGTATCAACCAACAGCCTGGTGGACCAAACTCTCACAAGTCAAGTCTGGCCTCGGGCCGGGCTTGGGGAGTAGAACAACTCCCAGAACCCCATCAACCAAGTATCAACTAACCAGGTGCTTTATGTGCTTGGGCCAGCTATAGTTAAAGGCTATAGTTCCGCTACTGTGCTAGTTACTGAAGGTCAGGCAAATGTGGTACAATGTGGACAGGTTGGGATAAATGGAACGCATATTATAAGGGAGCATGTGTAATTCCGTGGATGAATTTGTGATGAAATGTTGAGGGATGGATTGGTGTGGATGGAATTCAATCCAAAGTCATAAAGGAATTGGCAGAGGAGCTATGCCTACAACTGAAACTGTTTTTCAGAAAATCTCTGGATCAAGGGATAGTACCAATAAATTGGAAATATTTAAATGTCATCTCTATTTTTAAAAAAAGACCAGAAAGAGCTCGGCACAAAACTACCGTCCGACCAGCTTGACATCATACATCTGTAAGTTCGTGGAGAGAATCCTAAAGGAGGGAATCAATCACCATCTCACAGAGAATAATCTTGTAAAGTCAACGCAACATCGATGTTGTTAAAACATGTGTTGGTGATGATGTGTTGATGTGTTAAAAATAGATCCTGCCTCACATTTTGGGAAATGATAACGAGCTGCTCAGACAAAAGACTTCCGGTGGATGTAGTTTACAAGAATTTTCCTAAAGCTTTTGATACAGTACCACATGAAAGACCAGCAAAGAAATTACAGGCATATGGAATAAATGGTAGAATACTAGAATGAATCAAACAATGGTTAAAATGGTTTAGGGTCCCGGTAATATAGGGACCCAATTAGGTTCGTTCTCGACTCACAATCAAGAATTATGGATTCGAATCCCGGGCGGGACAGAAATTATTGGGCGCGTTTCCTATAACGTAATGCACCTGTTCACCGAGCAGTAAATAGGTACCCTGGAGGAGACCTCAATGTAAGTCAGCCTAACATGTACTGTATGTATAAACTGGCTGCCTGTTCCCTGACACAATGAATCATTTAAAACAAAGGGTCGTGCTAAATGAGAATGAGTCTGACTGGAGAAATGTGGCGAGTGGGGTGCCACAAGGGTCCAGTTTGGGGGCCATCCCTTTTTGTTATATACATCAATGACATAGATGAGAATATTACAGACTACGTCATCAAATTTGCAGATGACACTAAGATTTATGGTAAAGTAGGAAGTGGAAATAATATTGAAGCCTTACACGAACTCCACAAATGGTCAGAAGACTGGCAAATGCTCTTTAATATAGAACAATGTGCAAGACTTTGCATGTGAGGCATAGCAACCTACGTCACAAATACCAAATTAATAACATTACCTTGCGGCAGATTAATGAAGAAATGACCTCTTATCAGGATCCATCATTCACTGAAATTTACACAAGTAGGAGCAGCAGCAGCAAAAAAAAAAAAAAAAAAAAAAAAAAAAAAAAAAAAAAAAAAAAAAAAAAAAAAAAAAAAAGCTTACCAAACCTTAAAAATAATCAAGCGTAACTTTGATTTTAAGGAAAAAGAAGGTTGTGATTCAACTGTATAAATCTCTGGTGTATCTCCCACTTGGATTATTGTATCCAAGTAAGAAGACTTCGTTGTCAGAAGGACATCGCTGCTTCGGAGAAAATTCAACACTTGGCGACAAAAATAACTCAACTCTCGTGTCAGTAACGGTTGAGTGTCTCGGGGCTAACAACACTGCAAACCAGGCATCACAGGGCAGATCTCATCGAAACCTTTAAAATACTGAATAATTTCGATGTTGATCGAATCGGACAATTTCTTCAACAGGTCAGATGTAACACAAACAAGGAGCAACAGTTTCAAGCTCAACAAGCCACAATGTAGGATTGAAAACAGATGTTTTTTTCACCCTCAGAGTTATTAACCCACGGAACCGCCTACCCGCCGAAGCCGTAAATGCCCAAAACTCTGTTAAATTTAAAATCCAACTAGAAAAAAAAATTATTAGGGCAAAAGGGGGGACCTTTGACAAGCCACCGGCTTCTTGTCCTCGTTGAGGCCACTAGAGTGTTAGTGGCCCTCATTTAAATTTAACATTTGATAAAGACAGTTTGCCTTGGGTCACTAACTTCAAGTGTGATCTCAACCGCTCCCTCCACCACCGAAGGCGAAATCAATGAGCCGTGGATCGATAAATAACGAGAGGTTATTAGTCAATCATTCAGATAAAACTTATTTATTTGCACTCTTCATATAAGAAGGTACCTTAATTCCCGCTGTTAAGAACAGGAAACATGTATTTTAGGTTTATTGAGGTCCCATGGATTGGGGAAGGTCACTACTGACCCTCCCCAGAAATCTCCAACAATTGTCTTACACCAGGGCACATATTTTACTGCTATGTGAACAGATGCATTAGGCGAGAGGAAACGTGACCAACCGTTGTGAGCCATAACGTAGACCACTGTGCAACAGGTCGTGTGTGTTCATCTCTTCTAATCTAAAATACACAAAACATTAGCATACAAATATATATTTTAATACCACGTAGATGACTATTATGCCGAGGTAATACATGAGACAAGAGGGTAAGAGTGGCACGAACCCATCCTGGATGTCGACCAAGCTGAGTGCATCGAGCGGCCTGAGCGCGTGGGCCATGACAGTCCTCACAGCTGGCGGGAAGCTGGCCATGGCGCGGCTGAGGGCCCGCCGCTCCCGCCCCACCCAAGGCACTCTCTCAACCCCCGTCACCTCATACCTGCTCAAGTGAAAAACAAATCTTCACAATCATATGAAATTATCTAATACAACAATTAATGAGTATACAATTTAAAGAAATATACATATAAAGCATTATTTAGGCACTAACCTGGCACTAAGCAAATTATTTATTGCAAGAAGTTTCAAGTTCTTTCAAATATAAACAAGCCAGTTTCTATGCGTTTCTATTTCCTGCATCATTGCCTGGGTATTGATACCGTTTAGTTTCATTTATTATACACCTCATACCCACCCTGTGGGCGGTAGTGGAAAGAGTTACAGAGGCACATTATGAGCTCAGGGATGCAACTCCAAAACTAATTTTGCGAAGCAATTTACAGTTTTGATAAGCTAGTCACACTGTTCAATATTTATCTAGTGATCAGTTCTACTGAACACACACAAGACTTCAGTAGAAGCCTCAGAAAATCCTATTCTGTGTTCAGTAGAAGCCTCAGAAAATCCTATTCTGTGTTCAGTAGAAGGCTCAGAAAATCCTATTCTGTGTTCAGTATAGCTCAGGTTGCAATCCCTATACCATGTCGTGGTCTAGTCGCTAGCGCGTGTGTATGGGAACACCCAGGCATAATTATAACAAATGTATAACATTGTGACTCATTCGAAATCAACAACACAACAAATTTTGAGGACTAGAAAGACGTACACAATGTAAGGCTACTCACAGCGTCCGGCATGGTACACATAATAATAATAATAATAATAATAATAATAATAATAATAATAATAATAATAATAATAATAATAATAATAATAATAATAATAATAATAATAATAATAACTAATTTTTTGCAAGAAAGTACAATGGGTTGGTGAGATTACATATGATTGGTATTTTTACGTTCATGCAAAGCCACTAACATGCATAGCGTTTCAGATAGGTCCTTCATATAACATATCAGGTGAGAAGAAAGGGTACATTGTAGCAAGGTTTTTATCAACAACATAAGTTGACAGCGATGATTACACAGGTAAGGATATATGTCTTAAGTACTAATATTTGGGGAGTGGGTAGTACAAGATACAGTGTGAGTCTGAAGCACAAGGTAGGAAACTATGAAGATGAAATTAGGTACTTTTTGGTTTTACTTTTATTTGCATGGAGCGTTTGCACAGATTTAGTTTGACTCTGGGGATATCAAATATATATTCATTTCTGGTGTGGTGCTCAAGGGTTCTATTACACCTATCAAGGAAAAGTTTCAGATCAAGATTAGAGTTTGTTATAGTTCTGATAGCAGATTTTTGCTGAGTGATGATGGGCTTGAGGTAATTTGCAGTGGTTGAACCCTATGCACAGATACCATATGTTAGATAGGGATAGATTAGTGTGGTATTAGACATCACAAGAGATGGTGGCCAGCCGGTAAACTGATAACTACATAACTACAGTATTAACAATACTGTCCTCTTACAAATTACGTCTGAATTTAGCCGTTTGCCCGTATGGCCGAAAACTGACGTAATTTGAAAATGAAAACAAATTGAAAATAAATTTCGGATTTTTTTCCAAAACAGTAAGTTAAGGGTCCTCTGGTAGGTTAGGAGGGCAGGAAATTCTCCTAAAGTTTCAAAACGTCATGGAAAAAGTTAATTGAAAGTTTCCTCTCCTAACCTAACTGATTAAGCTGGAGGACCCAAACAGAAAACGGGACAGTTTATCACTTTCGTGAGCCGATTTCATTTCAAATTACGTCAGTTTTTGGCCATAGTGCGCATACGAGCGAAAAGCGACGTTATTTTGAGAGGACGGGTTGGCCTAATACAGGAAATATATTCCATACTCTGACCCGTTATGCCCAAAAGGCTATGTGTATGCTAGTGGCTTTGCAAAAATGTAAAAATACCAGTATTATGTAATCTCACAAATCCATTGTTCCTTCTTGTAAATAAATAAATAAATAAGTAAATACCTTTCGTAGGTCCCCAGTGGCTTCATGAGCACTGGCTGGACCTCTCTTTCTCGTAGTTCTTGGAACAAGTCCTTGAGAATGCGGTCGTATTTAGCAGTGAGGCGAGAAGGAAGGCGAGAGGTGAGGGTGGTGACGAGGTCTGGCGGGCGAGGCCGGTGGGTCGTCCGCAGACTTCGGCACGAACCCATCACCAGGCCAGCGAATTCTGCACGTCGTCGCCTGAGTAAGAGCGGAAATAAGAATCCAAAATAATATTTGATTTATATAAAAATCCGTATATTTGATAAATGAAACAATAGAGAATTCGTAGGTAAGAAATATTTATTAAACAGTCTCCGTGGTGTAGTGGTAAAACATTCGCCTGACTCGACTAAAACATTCGAAGTGACTCGAACCCATACTGCCAGAAGCAGCGCAACTGGTATGTACAGGACGCCTTATTAGTGAGGGAGGATGGAATATCATGAGCAAGGGATGTCCCAGTGGATGAGAAGAATCTATTGAATTCAATAGCAGTGTCAGAGGCTGAAAGCACACCATCCTCATTGGATAGGAGTATTGGTTTTTTATTCAAAATCTATTTTTATCCTAATACATGTATTTGGAAGATAATGCTCCATGTTTTCTTAATGTTGCCCTTAATTTGGGTAAATTTCTTTTCGTAGTTTTTTTTTTTTTTTTTTTTTGTATTTCATTTAGTAGTATTTCATTTTGGCTCTTCTAATTATTTTAGACAGCATTGATGAGTAAATCTTTGAAAATTCTTTGGAGACGACTCCTAACCTATACTTCTTCTTAAGGTCCTGATTTTTATTAATAGATTTAAGTATACCCTTAGTAAGCCATGGAGTGTTTAACCTTTTATTTGTGACTTGTTTCGTTAGCATCGGACAGTGTGGAGTTATAAAGGCTCTGGCTCTGAGTTTTCTGTAGAAATGTTTGCACTGCTAGGTTGATGTCCACTGTGTTACCTAATCCAGCCTCCCAGTTGATATCAGCAGCAACAATAAAGTTGCTTATAGAAGTTTCATTGTACAGCCTAAAGCTTATCCTCCTTGTATCTAGAGGGGGTTTATTAATGTTAGTAGAAAAGAGGCGTAATGGTCTGTGGTCCTATCAATGATTATCCTTGAAATATGTGGAGAGGTTATGCCATAAACGCTATGCGTGTTAGTGGCTATGTAAGAATGAACAAATACCAATATTATATAATCTCACCAACCCATTGTACCTTCTTGTGATCATTATTATTAGTATTATTATTAGTATTATTATTTATCTTACGGGCCGCCCAAAACGCTGTGTTAGTAGCAAGAATATACTAAATAATTACCAATGTACGTACTTTCACAACCCATTGTACCTTCTTGCAAATAAATAAATTAATAAACAAATAAATAAATAAATAAATAAAATAAAACATATGTCAATGTTTTCTTAATACATTACTGAATTGAATTGAAATTTAATTTAATAAGTGAGGCCTCATGTACCTTTGCTTTTTCTCAATTACAAAACTCTGACTTCCAAATAGGAAGAGTCAACTGAGCATCTGTATCTATGGCATAATATAAACACTAGAGGTGAATACCAGTGGAAGTGCTTAGTGTGGTGTATCCTTGCTCTTCTCCTGTGGAGCAGTTGACTGTAGTCCCAGGGGTTGGAGCCGTCACCCATTGGAGCCGGGACTGCCCCATACTGGTAAAAAAAAAGTGTATACATCTGTACCCGGATTCACGAAGCAGTTACGCAAGTACTTACGAACGTGTACATCTTTCCTCCATCCTTGACGGCTTTGGTTACATTTATTAAACAGTTTATAAGCATGAAAACTTGCCAATCAACTGTTGTTATTGTTATAAACAGCCTCCTGGTGCCTCGGAGCTCATTAACTGTTTAATAATTGTAAACAAAGCCGCCAAAGATTGAGAAAAGATGTACACGTTCGCAAGTGCTTGCGTAACTGCTTCGAGAATCTGGCTCCTGCTCAGTAAAATCCTGTTTAAGATACAGTGCTTCAAACTCGCTCTGTATCTTGTGCTACCCACTCCCCCAATACTTGTGCCTAAGACATGCAACTTCACCATTGTAATCAACTTAGCGACTGCTATCAACTTATATCATAGTTGGTTATGTTGAAGGCATATTTTGCTACAATGTACTTATTAATAATCTTCAAATTATGCTACCCTGTATCTATTCATAATCTTCAAATTTTACTACAATGTACCTATTAATATTCTTCAAATTTTGCTATAAATTACCTATTTATAATTATCTGTTAGATTAAGGATCTCCCCGAAACGCTATGCGTGTTAGTGGCTTTACAAGACTGTAAAAACATCAATGTTATGTACTCTCCTCGCACCCTCTCTCTCAGAATGGGTATGGGGTGCGTAATAAATTAACTAAATTAAACCTAGAATATACTGAAATTGAACATATTAAGGATCCGCTGCATACAATTCCTTCTCAAAATCTAGAATAATCAAATTAACTTGTATTTTGAAATAAGTTTGAACATAGATCTAAAAATAGATTTACATTAAACTCATTATCGTTTTATATTTACTGCCGCTAATATACAATGACTTATTATTATTAACATCTTTATTGACAAAATTAATTACAATTTTGCCTAATCTGAGGATTTCCATTAAGTCTTATTAGAGTGAGGATAATGGTGGTATTGACTGTCACGCAGGACAGAGGGTCATACACAAGACAATAGGTCTAAACTGTAGGCTGAAGCACATATATATCATGGTTACAATCAATGTTTTAATGTATGACTATGTTAATACAACTTTCTATTGTGCACTGCCACACAAGGGCGGGGATGTGCACTGCCACACAAGGGCAGGGATGTGCACTGCCACACAAGGGCAGGGATGTGCACTGCCACACAAGGACAGGGATGTGCACTGCCACACAAGGGCAGGGATGTGCACTGCCACACAAGGGCAGGGATGTGCACTGCCACACAAGGGCAGGGATGTGCACTGCCACACAAGGGCAGGGATGTGCACTGCCACACAAGGGCAGGGATGTGCACTGCCACACAAGGGCAGGGATGTGCACTGCCACACAAGGGCAGGGATGTGCACTGCCACACAAGGGCAGGGATGGTTCATAAGTGATGCAGCTTAGAAATAAATTTCAATAAAATTGTTCTTCATTCTTTAAAATGGACAAGCAAATTTTGGATAAATTGTTAGGATGTCGTCCAGAACACCTGAGTCAATGAAATAGTTACACAGTTGGTCGTACAATAGGCCAGGAGGTCTAAAGTCTTTTACGGTTTCACATTCAACAATATAGTGTTCTAGTGAATGCATTTAAGGTTTATCACAGAGTTTACAATCTGAATATTCTGGTAGTGGCTCAGCCTCACTAACCTGCCAGATGTGCCTATAGCCTAAGCGAATTCGCGCATTGACTATATCACATTGCCTGGTCCGGTTACTGTGCTGACCATACAAATACTTATTATTACAAAAGTTGTCATAGCTGACCTTCTTGGGCTGCGTTAGAGGGCGCATCCTGCAGCGGAAGTCAGCCACAGGTGGAGGGAGGGCGGCCAGGGCGCTCGCCTGCCCTCCATCACCGTTCGCCTGCCCTCCATCACAGCCCTCCTGCCCTCCATCACCGCTCTCCTGCAAGGTCCACTCTCTACAATATGCACACATAACAAATCGATGAAAGTAAATTAGTTGGTATACTAGTGAACTAAATCTATATCTATAAATGAGACTGTCGCAAACTGGAGGCCTTAAGCTTGAGGTTAGCTTCATCAAACTTTTCAAGATGACACATGGGTGGTATGAGATTGTCAAAGGCTGGTTGGGGTCGGCAACTATGCCCCTTAAATAAATAGCGGCCCCTGCGATTTTACTAAAGTTTGGAACTGGGGAATATATTGCTGGATTTTTTTTTTGGGGGGGGGGCAATTTTTATTCATTTCGTAAAATTACATATTTGGAGAAATAGAGAAAGAGAGAATGTCGTGTGATTTAGATATTAGTGTGTGGGAGGTTATGTTATTGACGGCTGCATATTGGTATCTCATTAAGATATGATTCCATATAGTTCAGAGCAAAGCTTCGGATTCCATAGTGATGAAGGTTTAAGTAAGAGGTAGTTATGGTTTACAGTATCAAAGGCCTATCTCAGGTCAATGAAAAAGGAAATTGGGAACTCAATATTGCCAAGAGCTGTGTACATTATATCAAGCAGACTAATAATAGCATCACTGGTATTCTTTTGGGAACGGCAGCCAAACTGGCAGGGATTGTTGGATTTTACAAGGTAGGAGTAGAGCCGTTTGTACATCACTTTTCAAATATTTTTGGTAGTATTGGTAAATTTGATATTGGTCTGTAATTGTTTATGTTATCTGTCTCGCCTTTTTTATGAACTGGCGTTACTCTTGTTATTTAAGGATATCACAAGTATGACACTCTAGAGATTTGTTGAATAGCAGAACCATAGGTGGTTCAAGGGCATGAGCAGGACTCTTATATACCACTGATGGTATTTCACTAATGTTCCCAGCCTAAATGGTTTTAAGTGAGTGAATTATGAATATAATGTCAGTCGGACTGACTAGTAAAAGGAGTAGAGCAAAGGAGTATTTAATTGGTGTCACCACTATTGCTCAAACCTGTAACAAGTACAAACAAAATACTCACTACAGTCTCTCATTAACTTAATGGCATAACTAATTAGCACTAACTACACAAAATCTTAGAGCTGCACTACACAAGTCATAACCTTATCCCTATTTACAGATAACATTTTTTCCTTCCTGGTTGGAGGAAGCTGAGGTGTAGTCACCGAATATAAGCAAGGGAACTGCGAATAGCCAACAGTACAATTTCCAGAGTGATTCAGATAACTCCAGTATAGACACTTTGGATTTACCTCACCTCTTCAACCTCAAGAATGTAGCACTCGGCGTGTATAGTTCTAATCGACCCCAAGACGCTACAATTGCTTCGACACAGAGCAGACAGCAGAATACGACCGCATCGAGCTACAACGCTCTCGCTCCCCATGAGTTCAGACACTTACGATTCCTTAATAGAGCCGCGACGCTCTCCCACATAGAGCTCTGCGACTCCGGCCTCACTCAGCTCTCCGCTCTGCTCCAAGCTCCGTCTGAACGTCTACGACAATGCCAACAACCGACCACTGTAACCAAGACTACTAAATAAATATGAAACTCACTAAACACTGTGTATCTAATCTACCCAACAACGTAACATAATCGTACGTTACAAACCCAACGTATAATGATTAGCTAGAAATTGTTGACTGGTAGCGACGCCAAGCAGTGTCAGCTGAGATATGAGCTGAAAACAGTTCGACGTCTGCTAATAGGAATGCCACTAGGGCTCTGACGTCACAACAAGGCTATGACGTCAGTCATGATATCCCCGGGTGGTGTGACAGACAACAGGAACTAGCAGGTCCATTGTTCATCACAATGAAATGTGTGAAGTAAAACATGTGTATGGGGCAAGTAACAAAGTCAGTAGACTAACAGATGTTGTCACAGCTCGTATAAGACTTGGCTACAAGTATCTCTGGCAGTTCGGCTTGTATACGGATCTAGATGAAGTAAAGTGTAAAGTGTGTGGACAAAGACAGGGACACACACACTCGAACACTATATCTTGGATTGTTGTAAAATTGAGCCATTTAGAGATAAGTCTAAGCTCACTCTGTATGATATGGCAACCTATCTTATTACCATGGATAAATTACCTGAAATCCTTGCACTGTATCCATATTTCGCTTCCAGTAGATAAACGACATATGAGATTCAGAAACAAGTAGTGTATTGTGAGGACTAATAATAAACAGAAGCTCCCCTATGACTGTAATATCTCCATTGCTCAAATAATTCTTTATTAGCGATAAGACCTACCATTAATGTATGATGACTTACTGTAAATATATAGCTCTTGAAATAGCACTTTCTCTGTAACTAGCTGACATTGTAATTATAAGGTGTGAAGGATAGATGACATTGTTTATGTAATAATCTAAGATGAGGTCTGATAAAGACCTTTTGTGCCCTCTGTAATGCTTTTTGCGCTACCGCTCACAGGATGGGTATGGGGTGCACAATAAACTAGCCACCTCCGGCGGCTAGTCCGCCGGAGGTGGCTAGTCCGCCGGAGCTAATCAAATCAAAACAACTTACCACCAGTGTGATATCCCCGGGTGGTGTGACAGACAACTTACCACCAGTCATGATATCCCCGGGTGGTGTGACAGACAACTTACCACCAGTGTGATATCCCCGGGTGGTGTGACAGACAACTTACCACCAGTGTAATATCCCCGGGTGGTGTGACAGACAACTTACCACCAGTGTAATATCCCCGGGTGGTGTGACAGACAACTTACCACCAGTGTAATATCCCCGGGTGGTGTGACAGACAACTTACCACCAGTCATGATATCCCCGGGTGGTGTGACAGACAACTTACCACCAGTGTAATATCCCCGGGTGGTGTGACAGACAACTTACCACAAGTGTAATATCCCCGGGTGGTGTGACAGACAACTTACCACCAGTGTGATATCCCCGGGTGGTGTGACAGACAACTTACCACCAGTGTAATATCCCCGGGTGGTGTGACAGACAACTTACCACCAGTGTGATATCCCCGGGTGGTGTGACAGACAACTTACCATCAGTGTGTTATCCCCGGGTGGTGTGACAGACAACTTACCACCAGTGTGATATCCCCGGGTGGTGTGACAGACAACTTACCACCAGTGTAATATCCCCGGGTGGTGTGACAGACAACTTACCACCAGTGTGATATCCCCGGGTGGTGTGACAGACAACTTACCACCAGTGTAATATCCCCGGGTGGTGTGACAGACAACTTACCACCAGTGTAATATCCCCGGGTGGTGTGACAGACAACTTACCACCAGTGTGATATCCCCGGGTGGTGTGACAGACAACTTACCACCAGTCATGATATCCCCGGGTGGTGTGACAGACAACTTACCACCAGTCATGATATCCCCGGGTGGTGTGACAGACAACTTACCACCAGTCATGATATCCCCGGGTGGTGTGACAGACAACTTACCACCAGTCATGATATCCCCGGGTGGTGTGACAGACAACTTACCACCAGTCATGATATCCCCGGGTGGTGTGACAGACAACTTACCACCAGTCATGATATCCCCGGGTGGTGTGACAGACAACTTACCACCAGTGTGATATCCCCGGGTGGTGTGACAGACAACTTACCACCAGTCATGATATCCCCGGGTGGTGTGACAGACAACTTACCACCAGTCATGATATCCCCGGGTGGTGTGACAGACAACTTACCACCAGTCATGATATCCCCGGGTGGTGTGACAGACAACTTACCACCAGTCATGATATCCCCGGGTGGTGTGACAGACAACTTACCACCAGTCATGATATCCCCGGGTGGTGTGACAGACAACTTACCACCAGTCATGATATCCCCGGGTGGTGTGACAGACAACTTACCACCAGTCATGATATCCCCGGGTGGTGTGACAGACAACTTACCACCAGTCATGATATCCCCGGGTGGTGTGACAGACAACTTACCACCAGTGTGATATCCCCGGGTGGTGTGACAGACAACTTACCACCAGTGTAATATCCCCGGGTGGTGTGACAGACAACTTACCACCAGTGTAATATCCCCGGGTGATGTGACAGACAACTTACCACCAGTCATGATATCCCCGGGTGGTGTGACAGACAACTTACCACCAGTGTGATATCCCCGGGTGGTGTGACAGACAACTTACCACCAGTGTAATATCCCCGGGTGGTGTGACAGACAACTTACCACCAGTGTGATATCCCCGGGTGGTGTGACAGACAACTTACCACCAGTCATGATATCCCCGGGTGGTGTGACAGACAACTTACCACCAGTCATGATATCCCCGGGTGGTGTGACAGACAACTTACCACCAGTCATGATATCCCCGGGTGGTGTGACAGACAACTTACCACCAGTCATGATATCCCCGGGTGGTGTGACAGACAACTTACCACCAGTCATGATATCCCCGGGTGGTGTGACAGACAACTTACCACCAGTGTGATATCCCCGGGTGGTGTGACAGACAACTTACCACCAGTCATGATATCCCCGGGTGGTGTGACAGACAACTTACCACCAGTCATGATATCCCCGGGTGGTGTGACAGACAACTTACCACCAGTGTGATATCCCCGGGTGGTGTGACAGACAACTTACCACCAGTCATGATATCCCCGGGTGGTGTGACAGACAACTTACCACCAGTCATGATATCCCCGGGTGGTGTGACAGACAACTTACCACCAGTCATGATATCCCCGGGTGGTGTGACAGACAACTTACCACCAGTCATGATATCCCCGGGTGGTGTGACAGACAACTTACCACCAGTCATGATATCCCCGGGTGGTGTGACAGACAACTTACCACAAGTGTGATATCCCCGGGTGGTGTGACAGACAACTTACCACCAGTATGTTATCCCCGGGTGGTGTGACAGACAACTTACCACCAGTGTGATATCCCCGGGTGGTGTGACAGACAACTTACCACCAGTATGTTATCCCCGGGTGGTGTGACAGACAACTTACCACCAGTGTGTTATCCCCGGGTGGTGTGACAGACAACTTACCACCAGTGTGATATCCCCGGGTGGTGTGACAGACAACTTACCACCAGTCATGATATCCCCGGGTGGTGTGACAGACAACTTACCATCAGTGTGTTATCCCCGGGTGGTGTGACAGACAACTTACCACCAGTATGTTATCCCCGGGTGGTGTGACAGACAACTTACCACAAGTGTGATATCCCCGGGTGGTGTGACAGACAACTTACCATCAGTGTGTTATCCCCGGGTGGTGTGACAGACAACTTACCACAAGTGTGATATCCCCGGGTGGTGTGACAGACAACTTACCACCAGTATGTTATCCCCGGGTGGTGTGACAGACAACTTACCACCAGTGTGATATCCCCGGGTGGTGTGACAGACAACTTACCATCAGTGTGTTATCCCCGGGTGGTGTGACAGACAACTTACCACCAGTGTGATATCCCCGGGTGGTGTGACAGACAACTTACCATCAGTGTGTTATCCCCGGGTGGTGTGACAGACAACTTACCACCAGTGTGATATCCCCGGGTGGTGTGACAGACAACTTACCATCAGTGTGATATCCCCGGGTGGTGTGACAGACAACTTACCACCAGTCATGATATCCCCGGGTGGTGTGACAGACAACTTACCACCAGTGTAATATCCCCGGGTGGTGTGACAGACAACTTACCACCAGTATATTATCCCCGGGTGGTGTGACAGACAACTTACCACCAGTGTAATAACCCCGGGTGGTATAGCAGAGACAGCTCTGAGGTGTGAGGATCCTGCCAGACGCCAGTCTTCACTTCTACCGACAAACCTTGGCTAAAGAAAACACAGAGGAGTTTGACTCTGGACTATCTAATTACAGTGCAATTATTAAAAACACACTAACTGAAATGATACTTCAGATTTAGAAGAATTAAGAAACTCCCAAAGACCTGAGAGCTGCCGTATTAAACACTGACAACTAATGTAATAATCCAGCCCATCCATCTGTTTTGGTAGTAATTTTAGTAATGATGAGGTGTATTGTAGCCCTCAGTATAGTATATATACCAACGTATAACGAGATTAGAAAGTAAAAATCGGAACTAATGAGTTGGACAAACCGGAAAACTATTTTTTACTTATGTTCCTTTGACAGACTAAACTAACCAAAGCTTCCTAGGCCTAATACGCGATATCTGAGGCCTAATATAGTACATATGTGTGCTATACTAGGCCTAGGAATATTTAATAAGTTTGTTTCTTAGCTTCATTTTTTTTAAGAATTCCTTACGAATCAGTGTACTACTATCTAAAAACTATATACGTACGAATTCGTGACTTTTAACGATCTTCACAATAGGTATTACCTAAACAGAAGGATGGGTTGACTCAGCACAGTGATTAAACTAGAAAATGCGATGCAGTCGTTGAGGTAATTCGTCTTGCCTATAGGTACTGTACATACAAAACCATGTTCCTAAATGCTAATCCTGTCGTGAAACTCTTAATTGATCTCTTTGATATCCCTAGAGTCAGACTAGTATCTACAAAAAATATCAGACAATAATATATCTTTGATATCCCTAGAGTCAGACTAGTATCTACAAAAAATATCAGACAATAATATATCTTTGATATCCCTAGTCAGACTAATATCTACAATAATATATCTTTAATATCCCTAGAATCAGACTAAACCTGTGCAAACACTGCATGCAAATAATAATAATTAGTAATTGATTGTATCGTGGGACAAAGCCAGAGTTTATTCATCCACGTTTTGACTTTTATCGAGGTAAACTATATTATGTATTACTTTTATCATATAGATAGGCTAAGTAAGAGGTTGGAAAAAATAAATCATATCTTTGATATACTTCATAAATTATTCGCATACAGAATTTAGAATTCGCTTCAAGAATTTAGAAATGCCTCTAGCATAAATGTTCAAGAAATGTGCAAAGAATTTAATTGAAAATTATCTACTACCAGAAATTTTAACCTAGTCTTCCAACTTTGTAAAGTGCAGGTAATTAGTGCACGCTGGTAACTGCATGCAAAAATTCCAGGGCCGCTTAAGGCGGAGAAGATTTTGCTCATGTCATCCAGATTAGGGCAAACGCTGTAGCCACACCGTCTAGAGCAGCTAGGGGTAGACCCGAGGCTTCTGGTCTCTGCGATGCTTGCCAGAAACCAGGGACCCTGGGCCACATATCCTAGGCATTCCACAAGACACACGGGTCTCGGGTGAAACGTCATGACGATATCACCCGGTTCGTAGCCGGCCGCCTGCCGCAAAGAGGTTTCGAGGTGGAACGTGAAGTCCGTATTCCGGATGGAGGGACCTTCTGTAAGTCTGATAACTTAGCTTGCAAAGGTGATGAGGCCGTTATATTAGACACCCAGGTCTGTGGTGATAACTTCCCACTCTCCCGTCCACATCAGAGCAAGTGCGACAAGTACGGCACCCCAGAGATCCTTCAAACGGTCAGGGAATATACCGGGAAGCACACAGCATCCGCCTCTTCAATAACCCTTAACTGGAGAGGAGGATGGTGCAAGGAGAGTGCACGTGGTCTACAGGATATGGGACTCACCAAGAGCGACCTTGAGATTTGTTCTGTGAAAGCCATGACCTGGATATATTCCATCTACAGAATATGGTCCAAGACCACATCAAGGGGCAGACCACCTTAGTCCCGGGATCACCGTGCACAGGGTGCATAAGGGTCAATATAGTCTTGTCTAGGTGAACCGCAGCCAGGATAGCTGGCAGCCAACTATCTAAGCAGAGTCGTCATCTGGAGTACCACTTCTCCAAATGGTGTCTCACAAGAGGGTGGATGACCTGGCCGGAGCCCACGAGTGGGTAAGGCGGCGGCCGGAGGGACCCCCATGTGCATATGTGATATCCCTCCCGCTCCGGGGCCTTGTTAGGAGCTTCCACTATGAACAGTTTTTTCCATGTATGCCGATGTCAAGTCACCAATCCTGCCGCTTAGGCAGCTTGTTGTTTTGCCTTCAGCTATAGTTCTTTTTAATGATATACTGTGCACCTCTCCCTTTGTGTGCTGTGTCCCATATAAGAGAAACAAAATACAAAAGAATTTTCCATTTTGTCTATGTTATTTTCATGTTATTATTGTGTGTTATTATTATCATCTTAACTCTTGTGGGTTGTGATGATATCTGCCATTTATATGTATTTTAGTTTGTGTTTGATAGGGAATTAGGTATGCTTAGGGGTGCCTTCTCGCCATGCCCTGTGCCTGGGGGGATTGGTGCCCTGAAGCTACATAAACACCCTATACCACCCCCTCCCCGAAGTGGCAAGGGGAGTTAGGACACAACAGTCACGGTGATGTTAGTTTCATAAGCTGTGAAGAGACTTCAATTATTTTTATGTTAACAAACTGTATAAGTAGCTCATCAGTGCTGTAACAAGCTAAGCTAAACAAATTCTAAGGCTCAGTTTCTGAACCCATTATGTCCCATTTTCCACTACCGCTCACAGGATTTGTATGGGGTGCATAATTAATACACTAACCTAAAGACTACATAAATGCAGCCCTAAGGAAAAAAGAGGCTTTAGTCAAGTGTTAAACATACCGTTGGAGGCACCAGTATTTCTGTGGTGACCAGCAGCTGGTGAAGGGTGAAGCGTGTTATGTCATGGGTGTTGTGTCCTCCGCTGGGCGTGAGGGCGGGCAGGGTGGGGACAGAGCCCGTCCCGCCCATATTAACGCCCGCCCGCCTGCCCCGCCTCATTTCTCTTTCACCTCTCCGTTACCACTCACTTCCTGCATCTAAATTTTCCAAATGATTTTTATATGAGAAGTTCAGTGTCTGGAAGAAGGGAAGCAGAGGAATATAAATTAAACACTTAATACAAATTATATATGTATGTATATATGGGGAAAAATATTTTTCCGCATACTTAGATCAGTGTTTTTGTGATCATTGCTGCACGTGTATGTATGTATGTATGTATGTATGTATGTATATATATATATATATATATATATATATATATATATATATATATATATATATATATATATATATATATATATATATATATATATATATATATATATATATATATATATATATATATATATATATATATATATATATATATATTGATGTTTTTACATTCTTGTAAAACTACTAACACGCATAGCGTTTCGGACAGCAAAAGTACACTATACGACCATTTGAGTTATTATAGTACACTTAAAATAATTCTGAATAATTTCTTATTCGTCAAGTAACTACATAAGAAATTATAAGGAATTTTTAACATGTTATATATTAACTTTAAGATTTAAATCATCACATCCCTATGAAGACATTATTTAAAAAAAAATTTGACGCCTAATTAGCAAATGGAAGCAAAAAATGTTACAGCTGTAAAATAATCTTATGTGATGTTACAAGTTAATATAGTTGCCAATTACGTTCAGTATATTTAACTACTTAATTTTGTCACCCAAATTAAATGTTATATATAAACCCGTGTACGGTGCTCACAATATATATAAATATGATCTACCCATATAGACATTATTATAAACAGTTGTATGAGCACAGTATTGATGAGAATAGGTATTATACAAGTGAATTGCTCCTAAAGATTATTGCTTAATTAGTGCTTGAACGTAACTTTAATGTAACCACAGTTAATGAAATTATTATTTGTGACTGTGAAGGTATACATAGGTTGTTAATAATGTACATAGGGTCGGTTAATTACTCAAGCCTCCTTTCTCTTCCTAAATATTCTGCCCTATGCAGGCGATGAGTCACAATAACGTGGCTGAAGTATGTTGACCAGACCACACACTAGAAGTTGAAGGGACGACGACGTTTCGGTCCGTCCTGGACCATTCTCACAATCGACTTGAGAATGGTCCAGGACGGACCGAAACGTCGTCGTCCCTTCAACTTCTAGTGTGTGGTCTGGTCAACATTCTACCCTAATAGTTGTTAAATACTAAAACTACTCATTATAAATGTTAAAAGTATTGTTACTTTTATTCTTACTTGTTCATTTCTGCCAATTCTTAACTACTTTTCTCTCAGCAGTGATCAGCGATGTTGTCACTAGCCTAGGCAGCAAGATGAGAGGCAGAAGCGCTTGGGAAAGGCGCCATGGAAACCGATACCAGCATACTGGCACAGGCTCAGCTGGTGAAATTGTTTACAATAACCATACGAGCTTCAAAGGTTAGCTCGTATTGGTCGATGGATCTGCAACAACCAATGGTAAGCAGCGTTGCATTGTTGCTGTTGCTATAGCAACCAGAGAGTTAACCAGCGTGCATGAGCCCTCATGTAGGAGTATGATTACATGAGCATATACCAACACTAAATATAAATTAGAGAAAGCACATCGTCATAAGACAAAGGTTTATGACAACATTTTAGTACTAGCTTACCGACAAAATAAAAGATTTTCACAAAAAAAGAGAATTGGCTATGGTAGATATAATTTATCCAGCTGTATTTTTTTTTTTTTTTTTTTTTTTGCTGGGATATTCCTGCGTGGGCCCTAAGCCTCTGGCTGGCCCACTAAGTGTTGCTTGTTTCTGTTTTACTTGGGCGGAGTATGAGTATTTATGACTTGTATGGTCGCTTCAGTAAGATTTTGTCCCATGTGTTTAACAACTTCTTCTGCTCATTTGAATCAAAGTTGAAATCTTAATGGGTTTGTAACTGTGCACTGTGTTAGATAATGTTCCAGTGGTCTGTGGGGTATTTCTCCACAGTGCTGACATTTCCTCTCATCTTCCGGAACCTATAAGCCTATTTCCCATGCACATGGGTATCCAAGCCTGATGCGATGTAAGTGTACTTCTGTTGCTCTACTGCTCCCTTTCATCAAACTAAGTGGTTCGTAGTTGGTTGAAGTCTTGTACCAACTCGCAGATCCTGATGTTGCAACTGCTGTGTTGTGGTCACTCTACATCTTCTGCATTGCTCTGTTTCTAATTACTTTCATAATCTGTGATAGACTCTGTAGCGTTTCGGGCAGGTCCTTAATCCTAATTTTCCCTGGAATGCGACCCGCCAAATAGCTTAACAACCAGGTACCCATTCACTGCTGGGTGAACAGAGGCTACAGTTAAAGGATTGGTGCCCAATCAATCCTCCCAGGCCAAAGCACTCTCGAAGCGCTGGGCGAGTGTCTTACCACTGTGCCACGGGGATTGCCGAATATATTAAGTAATTAAATAAGACACTTAAGAGTAGGAATGATGTCAGTAAACTATAATAAATGTCACCAGTGTTCTGTGCAATGGGGGACCAGTCTAACAATCTGCAATCTAACAGATAATTTTAAGTAGGTAAATTCTAGCAGAATTAATAAAATGATAACAGATACATTGCAAGAAAAAAATGAGATGAGAGATTAGTAAGTATATTAAAGCACATTGGTATATTAAAGCTCTGATTGATTACATTGACAGCTTGATTGGTAATTTAAACAAGATTAATAGGCACCATACAGCAGATTGATAGCACATATAAGAAGAGAGCAATGATCACAATGGTAAAGATGTTCAGATTGGGTACATAAAGATTGGGAGATTGGGTAGCAATAGATTGGATAGCAATATATTGGGTAGATGTTACTACTGCTCGGCTTAGACTCGGTTACAAGTATCTCTGGGAATTCTCATTATCTGCTGATGTAGACTTGACCAAATGTAAACTGTATCAATAAAATTATTCGCACACCCTCCGTCACTATGTGATGGAGGGCGAAAAGATACGTGAATTCAGAGACAATTCTATAACCAATGTTCCAGCGATGTGTAAATATTTCATTCAAAATGATCTGCTACCAGAAGTCTTAGCCAAATATCCCCAGTTTGCCAACTGTAGGTAGTAACTGAGTGATTGTAACCTATCCACCGCTGCCCACTGGATGGGGGGCGGTGTGCAGGACAAACATATCAATTGTGACACTAACTCTCCACATATGTCAGTTGCTTAATTTAGAACCTGTACTTGACCCATTGTTGATGTGACGACTTATACTGAATTTTGTAACTAGCTCATCAAGATTGTAACTTGCTTAGCTAAATGAATTGTGGAGTTCAGTCCCTGAGCCCATTATGTGCCTGTGTAACCCTTTCCACTACCGCCCACAGGATGGGTATGGGGTGCATAATAAATGAACTAAACTAACCACTCTACCTTACGTTAAATACTTTGGTCCACATAAGTAGAATGCAAGGTTTGCAATTGCAAACTAGGGTAAAGACTACTTTCCTGAAGGGCACTTGTAAAGGCTTAAGGTAGCCTTGGTAAACTTTAGCACACGTGGTTTCACTAGTCACCCTAGAGTACACTTAGGGATGCCAAAACACTGGCTTAGTCTACACCAATATAATTACACATACACCTAGCCAATAGCACGGTAATAACACAGTCAGATACTTAACTTGGACATAGGGTATAGGGAGAGAAGAACGGAGCCCACAGGGAAGGTGTAAAACCACGTCAGCAGCAGCCCAGAGAAAAGGAAGAGAACAGCCTCAGAGCTCTCTTAAATATGCTGCCGAGAAGATACCTAACTGATCATACAGCCCCAATCATTACAAGTCTTCACCGACCTTCATTACTAGTTACTTTAACAATTCTAAGAATAGCTGATAACTAGGTCAATAATTATTTAATAATCAACTTGCCCAGAATCTGAATGTTCATTATGATGTTGGACTATTATTTGTCAAATTTTATTAGTTAGGTTAGCTTTTGTTTGTGGCATGAGTTGAATTGTGGGTTTGGATACTAAACCTCGTGAATTTTAACAAATTAACAAGGTTTACTAAGTGCTTGTGCGGGGGGGTTGTAACAAACTAGGCTGTTGTAAGAATTATCCAGAGTGGTTTATCGACAAAAGAGAATGGGAAGCTGAGCCGCATGGTGACCTGACCCCCAGGGGGATTCGCGGTGGAAATAACCGACGCGTTGTTCATAGCTGCGTATAATGAATCATCCTATAGTATTCAGTAAATTAGAGAAAATTAGCCTTTATTCATTTTGCATTAAAATTGTATTGTATAATAGTACTGGATACAATATCAAGAGTATTCTAATTATTGAGTTTAAGTCACCATCAGTGACGTCACGAATCGGATCTAACTTTTAAGGCGGAGTGACCGGCGGTCATAGGTCAGCAGGGTTGACATGTCTAATATTTCTCAAAGTTTTATTAACCATTTTGGGGATCGGGAACAGCTCTGCCGTTAGATGTTTGTAATTTAATTCAGTAAAATAATTCAACCAGTCTGGATCAATTAAGTACAACAGAGTTTAATTGTTATAACTTAACCTTGCTAAAGTAACTGGGTAAGCGATGCGGAACAATACAATACTCTGTCTGGGGTAGTCCAGACAAGGAAAAAATCAGTGTGGTCACGGAAGCAGCTAGGAGAGGTCAAACATCTTACCTCTCCCCTAGACCAGCCAAGACATCCAGCTGGTCGCCCAAGGTATAGTTGCTATTGTTAATTATAGAAATAGTCTTCTCATTTGCCACTCAGGTCAAGTAGGGAGTGTTAAAGTAATAGGGAGTGAACATATTTAGATTTTGTTTTAGTTTTCTTTTAATAAATTAAATTTGTTATTAATTTGCATTTTATTGTTTCCATGTGTTTTATGTGTATACTTGTCCTGGTCACGTGGTCCACACGAGGCAGAGTTGCATTGGGCGCCGATTCTAACATCGAATCGGAATTATCATTACCGTGTAATTTATTCCACACTCAAGGTCATCGTTTATAGTGGGGATCAAGCCCCTAGGTTGATTAATTAGCG